CCTGCAGGCCGCCGTGCGCGCCGCCGCCGCCGCGCTGGCCGCGCCGCGCCGCCCGCCCCCGCACCACATGCAGCGCCTCGACGACGACCTGCTCGAGATCACGCAGGTACCTCCCCCACGACTTCTAACTCGGCAATATAAGATGCAAGCTACTTCAGTAAAACATGTCATTTGTCTTACATTTCACGCTCATAATCTCAGTAACTTCATAAGTACATACATTGGTCTAAAATAACAAAATACCTTTTTGTATTTCCAGCTCTACGAAGAGTATGCAGATCGCTACAATCTGTGGGAATGCAAGCTTGCTATCGTGCAATGTTCTGGTCATAATGACGCACTACTAGTTGAGAATATATGGAGTAATATCCTCGCTGAGGCTGAGGCTGCCGCTAGGAATCTACCTACGCCTGACGAGAGACTGGCTTCAGTGCTCAGCAAGCTGACTAGCTTAGGCAGAGAATATGTTAACACTGGACATTGTTTCCCCCTGTGTAAGTCACTGAATCTTATATAATCTTTGTCCATGTTCTAAGTTTCAGAGTTTTACTCATTAGTTAAATATTTTCAGATTTCATTGTGCGTCAACTAGAAATAATGAGCTGTAAGCTTCAAGCCGACCGAGGGATGGTGTTTAAAACAATTTTAAATATTGGCGTCTCACTAGAACAAGTGCTGGACATCTATATCAAGTATGTATCACAAGTCCTTTAGTATTGAACTTCCAGTTTAATGTGACAAATTAGAGATTTTCTCTGGAGAAAATTATAAAATTAGATAAAAAAAAATGTTAAATATCCCTCTGTATAGGTTGGTGAGTGTGAACGAGCGCGTGTGGCTGGGCTGCGGCGACGAGAGCCACGTGTGCCGCGCGGCGGCCGCGCTGCTGGACGCGGCGCGCGCGCACCTGCTGCCGCTGGCCGCGCCCGCGCGCCGCCGCGCCCTGGCGCGCTGCAAGGACCTGCACGACGCCGCGCTGTCTGCGCTACAGGTTTGTATATTTTAGGCCGACGAACAGACGGATCTTCCAGCATATATATATATTTCATATTAACTTTATCACCATACTTAAAGAGTTCAAAAATTGTATAAGTTTTCCATTGAGTATTGTCTCATTGCAGGCGCGACCCAACACTCAGCGTCTCATCGAACGACTGTCAGTTGCGCAGGCGCACTTGGACCGTATGGATTAAGTTTAGTTATAATTTCTAACATAAGTTGATAAAATTGGTATTAAGTCTATACATGTGCACATTACTTCATATAAGTCAAAGAGCTTAGCAAGCCGTAAGTATAATCTGTTAATTTAACGATTTTTATGCATGAATCAAATTGTAATGAGTAATAACTGGGTAAATTTTGGTGAATTAATATCAACTTGTAGAAAAAAAACCAATTTATTGACTGATTTTTTATTTAATATTTTCATAAATTACTAAACATAAAAAAGTCATACAGTAATTAATTACTATTAAACAATTTTCTAATATATTAAACTATTTTCTGTTAACATAATTATTGCAGTGGCAGTGACATACAAACATTCTCCTCATAAAATTATGTTAAATGTACAAATGTGTTGAATCATGTGCATAATTATAAATATAAGTGATTATGCATCAAAAGGCACTATGAATATGATTTCTATTTTTGTAAATAAACGATGATAATATAAGAACGAACCGGCTTGTGATTTATGTACCTCATAGAATGTGATACGCTTAGTGAGATCTAACATTAATATTGATCGTAAATTAATATTATGCTATTAATATTTACAATCCAGATTCCCTAGGGGTGAAATAAGTTTGGAAACCGCCAGTAGAACTCAGCGTGTCCTTTAAATTAACAAAAGTACGAGATTAATGATAAATGGGTAATGACTATGAGGAGTCTTCATCGAAAGGGTTTGTATTTACCTGCTGATGAGAGGGATGATGGTCATCGTCAGGGTAAGAGTACACGCCACTGTGTTGGCCTCCACTGACCGTGGGCAGTCCCACTGTGTTCATCGTGGACACATTATATTGCTGTTTAGTGGGATCTCTACCTGTTGAATTCTTTCTTATAACTGTTGTGTAAGTTGGTGTTGACTTAGTTGGCATGTCCTTAATTCGGGTTCCTGCACGATAAGTGCCGAATTCGTCTGGCGGAGGCGGCAACGAAAATCCATCTGAATTCTGTGTTATTTCCGAAGTCTCATCACTAAGTTCCTTGGCGAGTTTGTGTCGCATTTTTCTTGGCATCGTGTAGAATGTATTCATCTGAAAAACCCAAGTATAATAGACACTCGTGTTATGGCTTCTCATAATATTTATAAAGTTAATCTTAAAAAGCAAATAGGATGATTTACCGGTCTCGGAACGTTGTAATTAGTTTCTGGGGGTAGATGCAGTACTAGGTGATCACATAACGCGTCCATTTCTTTCTTTCTATGAATATTTTGCAAGGAGTGCACCCTGCAGGTGTTGTGTCGAGGTATCTCGTTGCACTTGCTGACTCCCTCCTGGTCGGCCATGTCGTGCATGTAGCGCGCCGAGTGGAATGAACTAGTCCGTCGTACATCGAAGTTCTTGGAGGAATGTCTCGATACTGCTCGCCGGAACGAATCCGTCCGTCTAACGTTGCACTCGCTGCCTTCGTCGCTGTCGTGATATGTTTCACAGTTCGATTCTGAAAATGTAAAAAATTTAGGCATCTTCAACAAGACCTAAGTGGGCCATCTAATGTCCACATCATTTTTGTATCGCATGTATAATTGTATGGATTTTTAACAGGAGCAATTATGCGAACCTTCAGTATTATAAGCGCAGAGCGGTGGGTCGGAGAGGTCGCGCGGCAGGTCGAGGCGCGAGGATCGCTCGTACGTACACAACACGAGGCCGCAGGCTGCCAGCGCCACCAGCGCCACGCCGCCGCACAGAGCCAGCGCTAGTGTCGTTATATTCCTCACGCTGCTTACTGTCACCGGTGGAGCTAAATCATTTCAATATAGTATTAAAAACAGGAAAATTCTAAGGATGTCTACCTCAATGTATTTCATATTTTTTAAATGAATACAAGATTAAAGTATTCTTGGAGGTGCCCACGATTTAAAATTTAAATCAATCAAGTTATCGATTAATTTAGGTATCAATATATAGAGGTGATTCTCTTTATAACCTAAGTATAAGTTTGCAGTATTTTCAACTTAAAAATATTTTGTTTAACCGCTTGAATGCCTGTATATGAGACAATAGAAAATATACAGTGTCTCGCGTGGATCCACGTTTAGACACACGACGGGTTAATTCTCTTTGAACCCGAACATCTATTAAACTGTCAAATACCAAGCGGTCACCGGTGACCGCAGCCTATTGTTCTATAATTGTGTCTGCAAAACCGGTACTCGACGAGTTAAGTACTCACCAGTTTCTTCACTCACTATGCTGCTCTTATCAACCTCTACAACTTGACTCTCTCCTTTATCGTTAAAAGCTATGATCATGAATTTATACTTCTCGTAACTCGGTTCTTGTATCATGAACTTTGGTTCCAAATTAGTTATTGATACTAATTCTTCTGCAGTGTCCACAGCCTGCACGGTGAATTTAAATTTCTGAAAAAGGTAATTATTAATATTTTTAAATGGTCAGAATCGCTTCTTGTAATAACAGTAGATTGGTAACATGCTCTGGCATTTTAGGCACATTAGGTGCTAGTTGCTATATTACCTGAGGCAATCCTCCGTCGTGCCCTTTCTCACACGCGATGATGATGTCATTCACGGAATTCTTCTTCGCTTCACAATTAGTGGGCGGACGAGGTATAGTTTCTCCGGTCACCAAAAAGGTGCATGGGGTATGAATTAACCCTTTAGAAGGCACATCGTTTTGTCCCCAACAGAAAATGGTACCTGGACAAAACAAATGTATTTTTTCAATAAGGCAATTGAGTTTATTGTACTTGTTATATTTTAGTGATTTAAAATAAACAGTTCGGTTCTGGGTGATTCTACAAAAAAAAAAAACAAAAATTGAACGGCGCCATTATCCTTAAGCCAAAGTTAACAGTTCTGCTGATTAAAATACAAAGTTTCGTTTCAAAAAATTGAGCCGTGTCACTGCTCTCACCCAATCCAATAAAATACAGATGCTAATAAGTTATCGCGATTCTTAACAACGCGGGAGGATAATGATTTGTTAAATAAAAGTTAAAGTTTTTTAGAAAAAACACTCTTCTACTAATACGGTATAAATCACAACCCTAAATGAAGATTTGGAAAAAGATAACTCGAAATCCTTTTAAATCTTTTAAAAGTAACTGCTCTGACTTACTGTAATCAGTTTCGTTAGGACGTTGATACAACAATATTGAATCTTCAGTTTCAACAGACTCATGCGGACGATTTCTTAGAGTGCTAATGTTCACAGCTTCGTTGACTAGAATCCAGCGATATGATTTCGGCGCAGGGTTACTTTTCACGTTGCAAGTCAAGTTTACCGCTTCATTTACTCCAACGCCGTATTCCATTATGGCGTCATCTTCGCAGTAGGAGGGGTCTGTGGAAAACAAAATGAAAAGGTAACATGGAAACGAAGAAGAACGAACTTGTAGGTAACTTAGATACTTTATGCATTCCATATGTTACAGTCGCTATGTGACTTAGTAGGGGGGTAGACTTTAATTCAAAGACTAAACAGAATCAATGGCCCTGATTGATTGGTCCCAGATCCAGTCACGCTACGGGGAGAAACTCTAGAGTTCATTGGGATCACTGCACATCTTCCTTCTTTTGTAACTTCTTTGAGATAAGATCTCGGGTTAGCTACTATTTAGTACCTACTTAACAAAAAGTCTTACAAATTACGGCGATGTTGATCGGTTCGCTGTACGTCGATCCCTCGTTATTGTTCGCGACGCATGCGTACTCGCCGCCATCTTTTTCAGTTACGTTTTTAATTTCTAAAAACTGCTGAATATTTCCTTTACTGTCTTTGTCAGCGTTAACTATCATATCTTCCTGGAATTAAAAGAAAAGCCTATAGAGACCTAGGTACATACTTAGACGAGTTACCGCTTTGCATGAAATCATTAGGGCCTTATTAAATATCATGTATGATAGGCAGGTACACAGAATAGTGGAAAATTTTTGCTACCTTATGAAAGAAGAGAAGTTCGTAGACGTCAGGATTAGCTTGATAGCTACAAGCCAGTGACAAGTTGGATCCTTTAATTACTGTGACCGTGTTGTTCTCCACATTTGCGTCGGTCACCACGATTTCCAGTATGGGTGGATCTGTAAGTATTACATGACTGGTTGGTTAATTAGGTAAACACCATAGGATCGTTAGCATTTAGTATGTGCTATACTCATTGAGTAATGCTCATATTGATTGCATATTCTGTATCTGTGCACTACATCATTATAATATAATCAATATAATTTGAAGGAATGACTCACATAACACGGTGAGGGGTAGTGGCTGTGCGCATACGAATTGTTCCGAGTTAGGGCGGTGCGCGGGCGCACAGCACGTAATGTGCGACTCATCATACTTCCGGTCTATCGTCAGCTGGATGTCGCTCACCACGAGCCGCTGTGAGGGCTCCATCTGTTTTATGATACAAAATAATTAATGATAATTATCTATTACGATTAATGTAGGTACGTAGGTACTTAATGCTTCGGTGCCAACTCATTTGTTTAATGTGTCGAACTGGATTGTTTTTACGTCAACGGTAAATTATAGGTAGTCGAAACCTGCATGTGCATTCGGTTCACGGTAAACAGTAATCCCAAATATCATGACAAAATAATAATATTTGCAAATAAACACAACTGTTTTATCAGTAGAAGACTTACAAGCCAACGATAACCAGGAACCAAAACAAGAGAATAAATCAATAAACAGACATGTACCTAGATAAACGCATCAAACAGGCATGTCACTTGTCACTCACAGTAATTTTCTGCTCCAAGTTGAGCAGCTGATTGTCGGCGAGCCGCCACACGATGGGCGGCAGCGGGCGCGCGCCGAGCACGCGGCACTGCAGCGACAACGCCTCGCCTGCGCGCACCCGTCCCGTCGACCCATCGGAGTCCGGACCCTCGCTCCGCAGGGACACCAAGTCAGGCGGCACTTTAATAACAATCATTTATTATTTCAGAGCATTTAGGTAGGTATCCATACAAATACACAGATACAAAAGCTCTAATCGGTAAACGACTGTAGGTACGATTCTTGATCGGCTGCTGCGAAACAGCGCAACGAGTAACGGTGAATGCCATTTTGCTTAGTTGTCAAGTAATTTGTTCCAGTTGGGATATGAGTTACACCCAGAGTTTCATGCAACACGAAGACTATAGGTAAACGCACCCAAGACATAGGAGACGATCTTAGTGTGGGGCAAAGTGTTATAAAAAATACCTAGACAATATTGAAAATAAGTCACGGTTACTCACAGTACATATCTATGGTGATGTCTATAGACAGTGGTGCGATTATTTCGTTATTTTTAGCTAAACATGTAAAGACTCTGCCATGATCCTCTCGCTGTAAGGGTCCGTATATCAGGTCACCGCGCACACGATGCTCCGACAGTGGCGTCAGAGTATTCTTCAAAAACCGCTGGTCTGTCCACCATGACAATGAAGCTAGTGGCTTGCCTGTTAAGGACCAAGTAAAACTATATATAATCTGAATCTCCTATGGTGACAACTGTCAACATGTTTTCATTTACTTTGTTTCTATAATACAATGTTACCTACCTCCATAGGCCACGCATGCAAGGTGAACGGTGTCCCCCACGTAGTAAGGTCCCACGTTTTGGCTCGTGTTGGAACCGGCGCTGGCCTTTGCCACTTGTGTGCCGTTTTCATGTACCACCCATAGATGCCGTGGTGGTTCTATAATAACAATGGATGTTCAGTACAGCTCGGCTTCTCTATTTGATATCTTTCTACTTTTCCAAAGTAGTTTTAAAGTGGATTAAAATTCTTAGTGTGACTGTTCCAAAAAATCGTTGTAGGTAGACCTTGCAAGAGTTATTTTTAACCGGATTTCTATGTTTAGATTAAAATGTAACTTGATAGTCGTACAATCATCTCTATTCCTAAAATAGCTTAAGTTAGTAACGCAGCTAATTATTATATACTATTAATGATGTAATGTTTACGTCGCGCAATTGTTTAATAAATGGAGCAGTTCCGCTGTCCGCTTCCTCATTAGCCTCGCGGACCAATTAACTGAACCGCCGCTATTCTGCAGGATAGGTAAATTTTAGTTTGGCTCGTTACCACTGCCTTTGTTCGATTCATGTAAAAAATGAAGGTTTAAAGTAACGATATTGCACTCGCTGCAGTAGAAATGTTTTATTAAAACGAAAATTTTAAAGGGCTGTGCTTTTTGTTTTAATTTCGAGAGTATCTAATACTGTTGTAAACTGTATAGCTACCCGTAAACTAACTTAAAAATAAGTTATTGTTATCATTTGAAATCGCTTAAATAAGGCAATAATACCTTCCAGATATCACGTACGGTGAGTCGATGAGTCACCTGATACATGAGTTATCTGCCATAGTTCACACTAATCCTTTAGTCACCTAAATGCATGAGCAAATTGCAGTCACATGCCACGGAGATCAGCGAATAAAGAAGTTAACAGTTCATTCCGTGTGTTACGATAATTTCAGAAACATCCGTCTTTTATAATGTTGTTGAATTGAACTAAGGTTTTTCCATCGTATAAAATTGTTAATATTTCTAACTTAGCGTTTTAAATATGTTCAACTATTTACATAACTCCGTTGCGTCGATCAAGTGATTGCAACCGCGACTACCGAGTATGGGGTATAGGAGACACCCTATACCCCATGCCGGAGTCGGAAAATTCTAAATAATGGATGGAATGGAAATTGAAATTTTTTTTTAATTGTGTCCAATATATGGCAGTAAGTTCACCCCTTATTTATTATATGGCATAAAATTACTTGTAGCGAAAATATAACCCCAATTATAATCTTTAACATATAATTTACCCTATCTACAGACAGTGGCACATTCACATACATAACTCACCTTAGAGCTATAATCTATGTCAATGCTCTCCCTGAACTCGATAGTGACGTACATTTTTAAGTCTGTTTCGATAAGCAAAATGGGTTCGTTAATGGCACTCACCAATGACAGCTAGTTGAACGTGAGTTTTGTAAGCGGGGCTAGCTGCGAAGTCTGCGAGGCAGGTGTACAAGCCTGCATCAGAGGCTCGCACGTTGACTATCTGCAACTTATCCTCCCCCTTGGTTTCTCCCGTCACCAGCCGGTACCGACTGCCTGACGATGTGGTACTCTTGTCTCCGTGGCGTAAGTCGCGACTGCTGAGACAAACGACTTTAATGGTCATCTTTACAGGTAGAGTAGGCAACTAATTAAAGTACCTACCTCATATAGGTACTCAGTTCTTAGCAGAAATCCTAAATGTTTGAATTGAAACTTACGTAAAATAATATTATCCGTTAGCTTTTCCGACGGGGTTTTTTTTTATTTTTTTAAGGGGGGAAAATCATCGAATGACTGCTCCCGCCTGGGTGAGGCGGGAGGGAGTGTCAGACTCTTACTGACTAAAAACCACCCCGTTCCTTCTCCTGCACGTCGAGCCGGAGCCCCGGTTACCCGTTAGGTTCTCCGCGACTAGCTTTTCCGACGGGGTAGGCAGGGGAGGAACGCTTAAAACTATTCTGTAACACTTTAGACGACTCGGGAATCGAACCCGAGATCTCTTGCGTCTACTGCGTTATTGAACCTCCCTAGAGTATATTATTGATGAATAACAATTGAACGGCAGGAGAGTAGGTAAATGAATATAACGTAATCATACTTAGCCAATTGAGGACTGACTGAGGATCGAAATCGAAACCTTCGCCAGCCTAGTGATACTGGATGAAAACCATTTCACTTGGCCACAAATTTTAATTAGGTATCTATATTATTATCGTCAAATAGTCACAAATAAATTAGCTTTACTTAGTATTTTCAAAATGAATCGATAATTACCTGTAAAATGCAGTAGTCGAACCATTTCTGTACCAGGCGAGTATATTGAGTTTGTCGTTCTTTTTCTCCGAAGTCACGTTGCATGGCAGTTCCACACTCTGACCCAACACAGCATCCACTAAGGAAAGCGAATAAAATAGAATAAGCAGTTGAATAGGTAATACAGCTAAGCGCTGTAATAAGATCGATCAACTGCAACTTGTTCCATAAGTATTTATGTATGCAAGTCTTGTGCCTCACCGCTATCCTTCCTAGCTTTGCTGTCATGGTTATTGTCGCGTCGAATAATTATAATTAGATAATATATTATTACTATTTTATTTTGAAAGGCTTCTTGGCATGGGCATACTCTTCCAGCCAGACCTTCGGATTCAGTGATTCAGAGACAAAAACAATGGTCGATGCAAGCAAGCGTAGGTATTCGAGAAATAGTAATAGTATTATCTAATAAAAATCAGCTCAGTTAGACTCTTGAAAATGGCCCCTAAATAGTCTAAATACCTTCCTTTGTAATAGTACCTAAGTACCTCGCTGTTCTACCACAAAACGTGTGGTGCCTATTTACAAAAAATCTACATATTTACTTAGATTGTGGAATAATTTATTTTAAGTTCAGGTGCAATATTGACAAATGACTAAATAAACTACCTACCTGAGTAAGATAAGATACTGATAAGATTGAAATTATTTTAAATTTATTTACCCACCTGAATTTATTTAATTTTAAATAGGGAAGTACCTGATATTCTAAAAACTATTCACTCAAAAATTAAGTATGTAAGCAGGTAGGTACTTACCTTTTTCATAGATTTCTTGTGCACATAAACTGTTTAATAATAAAACGATCACCGTTGAATATATAAAACTATTCATTTTTTACACTAATATTAAAATTATGTTAAAATGCACATTACAAAATATTCGTTGTTTGAAATTTCACAAGTCGAAGAGGGCACAGCCCGATTGGGCGCAACGGACACGCGTTTCAATTGGCGCGCTCGGCCGCAATAACGATATCGTCGGTCCAGGGAGTGCGGGACTTCGCTACCGGCCGGCGTGCGCGGTCCCCGAATGCTTCCGGAGCGCCCGCCTGTCCCCGCGTGTGACGTCACACCCGCCCTGCCTGCCGAATCATCATTTATCTTACACTTTTTAATTGGGAGAGGTCAAAACAATTGGGTCACCTCATCTGGATTTATTTACTGAATAAACTGGATAGTATTTATTTCTGGTAGTATATGGTGTTTCCGGTTTGCACAGGCCCTTACGCCTTTATGAGCACCAGTGCCGGGCTGACTGATCATGTAAATATAGCTATTAAATTGCTGACAGCTTAATATGGCTGTGTTTCAAAATAATATGATTGAGTGTGGTTTTGTTGTATCACTGATCTGCCCAAGCTTTACTATCACAATAATGATGATAATGATTCTAAACTAGAATTATTACAAAACTATTTAGAAATGACTTTGTGAGATAGGTATTAAAAAACTACATTATTTTTTCACAATAATTTAATAACCAATAAAATACTGGAGTACAGTGACACATAAACTAGAAGGTAATTTGTATGATTAGTTCTGGATCACATTTCAGAGCTGTTTGAGAGACCGAGTGAATAGAACTGCCAATGTAGCAATCACAGCACTTCCAATGGTTCCAACTAAAATTTTCTTTTTCTTATTGTTTTTCGCCTTTCTTATCTGGAAATAATAATAAAATAAATGTTACTTGAACAAGTTCATTCTGAAAAAAGGAAAAATAATTACAGCGGACACATTACAAGTTAAATTTACCTTAAATTTTGAGTTTACTGCAATTTCCATAGAATTTAATATGTTACTAATTTCGTTTAATGTGGCCAGAGCTACATTAGATGCATATTTATCTTTATATAGCAAACAGTCCGAAACTTTCTTAGATTTACTCAGTGCTGCATTACTGGCTACCATGCTAAGATGTATCCTATGGAGTAGCAAAGCACATTCTTCGAAAACTTCAACCATTTCCATTGGACCCAAAGTAGCGATCCTGCCGAAAGTTATTATGTTTTTTATTGTTTATAAAGTCAGATAAAACATACATAAAAGTGAACATTTAATATTCAAGTGAATTATAATAATAATTAATTTAGAAGTACCTAGGTATTAAAATTATTTATTAAGCTTCTATTACCTTATAGCTTGAGATTCTTCGTATGCAGGAAGCAATTTGGCACGTTCAATGAGTTGGTTCCTTATTTCAGGTTCGACTATACCTAATTTCCGGAGATCCTCGTCTGACAATTCCGATAATCCATACTGATCAATATCTTGTTTTCTGTGTGTAAATAAATTAAGTTAGTAAGAGTACTTTAGTAAAATAAATCATCCACTTTGGCTTCAACCACATATGACTTACTTGAATATCTCGATATATTTTTGAGCGCCTAACCCACACAGTATAGAATTTACGGTATCCTCAAAATTTGACGATTTTATCTCCTTAGGTTGCAGTACAATCTCTGAATTATCAACCATTTTCATTATTTTTGGGTTTCGCTATTGCGAATGTTTATATCACTTTATTAAATGCAATTCTAAATATGTAGTAAATAGATACGTTAGTGTCAAAACAAAATTTTGACAATTGACATGATTCTATTGAATGAAATGTCAATTTCATTTTTTTTCTTATACCTTTAGAGTAAATCCCAACCATGGAGGTATTGGCCCTGCAAAAATTCTTACTAGCGCTTCTAGTGTCGAAATTGTGAAGCTGTCTAAGAACGACACAGACAGTTGTCGTATACGGCATAGAAAAAAATACTTATTAAATATATATAAATCAGATTTATGTGGTTTCTTGTTTCTATATTTTTATTTTAAATATTTTTCATGTATTTCAAATTAAGGCATAAAATCTATTTCATTGTTTATAACTACATAAATATTTGCAACTTAAAATTAACTACAACTAAACTATTAAATAAAACGAAAGTAAAAATGGAAACAACCAACATTATACCCTCAATTTAGGCGTCAAAGTAATCGTCCGCATCACTACCACAGGGGAACGTTCTCAGGAGACTGGCAGCATTACCACGTTGAATGGCAATGCTTATTTTCTGTCCGAAGAAATAGCTAGCCCTCTGGTCACGTGTAGGTAGAGTCGATTAGCCTACGGGCGATATCTTTAAAAACAGAGTGTGCCCTGGGACCCCATGGCCCAAGTGTTTCGACCCCAAACGGCTCAAAACAGTAATTACCCACTAGAATTGAATATTTACGCCGTTTGAGGGCCTCTGCTGCGGAAGCGGCTGCACCAACGCATACAGCGGTACATAAGAGATGTGATGGCGCAAGGGTGTCTACATACGTCGCGTCCCACACCAAAGGCGTAGGCCATCTGCCAAGGCAGCAACGACATACCATCTGGTCTTTTGCCGTCATCACGTACCAAACCATTAGGTTCTAATACGGCTGGTACAACGGTTGAGGCAAGAGCACGACGAATGATGTCGTTGATGCTGGCATGGCGAGCTATGCAGCCTGCACTTCTGCAACAAGAAACAGCATGGTGTCCCAAGTCATCGATTCTTTCTCCACAGTGACAATAATGCGGAGAAACACAAGGAGCACCTAAACGTAAGCATACAGCTAGGCGGAACGTTATGTCATCCAACATAGTACCTATGAAGGGTAACGGGAGTGCCTGAAGCCACAATCCTGATTCCCATTTTCCCACAGCCAATAAGGTCGCTCTGCAGTATTAGAAGACGAGTTGATCAAAGACTCACGAATAACACTGCCCAGCGTCACGTCCCACTGTCTTTGAGAAGATGGGTGAACAGGTAAATCCGTAAGTGGACAAGCCATTTTCCATGCTTCCACTGCATCAGTCAAACACGGCACCTCAAAACTGGTCAGAGACGAAGAAAGAATTTTCCTGACTAATTCAGAGGTACCTACTGTGGACCGACGACAGAAAAGCTGGTAAATTATAATACTTGAAATTGTGCGGATTTTTGTATATAATTATTAATTATTTGAGTAAATAGCAAAATTAATTTTTTTTTTAGTAATTTTATATAGTCGTATTATTTAAGGGAGCTACATCTGCCAACAAACTGTTTTGTAGTTTGGCAGAAGTAATATTGTATTTTTTCCAACTATGTTTCTTACCTTGAATAAACGCTTCATTCATTCATTCATTCATTCATAATCAAATGTTATACTAAGTATTCAATTAATATCCTTAACTCACAGGTGTCAATGGGCGACGCCGATTGCTTACGCCATTGCCGATTATTGCGCCAAATGCCACTTTAGCGCTTGTATACAGAGAGAGTAGAAATCAAAATGTATGGGGATGACACTGACAAGTGTCAAAATTTACGTCAATTCCTTAAAATTTGGTTTTCTATTCTACATGTAGACAAGCGCTAAATGGCATTTGGCTCTGTAGCCAAGCAGCAGCAGCAGCTGTCTGCAGGTTCGTTTACCGGCTTATGCCAAAAAAAAGAGAAAACTCATTTCATTACACTCGAATTCAATACTTTAACCTTTATCAACTATCGATCCATCATTAAATTCGCATTTATTTAAGATTCCTGATTCATTTACAATGTTTATCTGGTGCTCGACCACCATAAGCATGCACCTATGTCAGTTATTAGGCCAGAAGGTGTTATTCCAATATTAAACTCCGCTGTATTGTATGAGAGTGCGTCAATATTCTACATTTTAAACAGAACAAGAACAGTCTCAGCATAGGCTAATAATTATTTATTATTGGATTTTTATTTTAATGATTCAGGTCAGTTGCTACGTATCATTTCGGTATCAGGCCAAGGAATAATAACTTTGAGTACTCTATTCAGCATGGGGACAATTAATAATATTATTATTGAAATAATTAGAACATGTCTGTCTATTTATACCAAACGAAATACAAATGGCTCCAAATGATATATTTCGTTTAATTTTTACCATTGTCAAAATAACTGTCTTTCACAGATAACATTTTCTTGTTTGTTGGAGCATTTAAGACCATTTCAATAACACAAGTCACCATTGTTTCTAAAAGTTCAATTGAATGAATGCCCGTAAAAGTAAGTAAATACATATCATTGCTGAGTAAATCTGAGAGGGTTAATTGCTTTATAGCTGGTCTTTCTTTTTTCCATACAGGAAGAAAATTTATTTGATTCATAATTTGGTACTTATTTTAGAAGTAAATGAAAACTTATTACCAAATCTCCGTAAGTATTACATTGAGGAACGCGACATTAGTGTTGCTGCTTTTATTAAAAACCGGTTTATGTGTGTAATCGTGATCCATTTGATTTTTATGTTTAAACACATAACCTGAACTCGAAAGCAAAGTGTCGTTCTTAGATAACTTCTGAATTTCGCCATTGGAGGCGCGCGGGTAATCTGTGCAACGCCAATAGAGGTGAGAGGCGAAATATCGGTGGTGTAAAGGTATATTATAGAAAGGTAGAAATGAGTAGAATTCATGTAGAAATAGCCATCGATAATAATACTTACTTTACCCGAATAGGAAGCAGGAACTGAACCTGCCTTTGTTTCACAGCACAGTTGCACTTGCAAGCCCTCGATTAACGAACAACATAATTAACAATGCGTATTTGTAGAATTTGTAGGGAGAGGCATGTAGGCTTAAATTGGCTTAAATAAATAATAATACGTTTTAAATTAAAAATCTATTTATTTATTTTTTGTTGATAGATCATACTATAGGTATCTACAGCAGAACACATAGAATCATTCTCTAATATTTGTCTACACTGTATATAAGTACTTCTCTCTCTACTTAACATTTTTTTTTACTTTTTAGATAATAAGAATGGAGATAATCGTAGTGGCGTAACATTTGTTTTTAAAACGCACAAATTTATTAGTACTAAGTTAGTTTGTTTTTTATACCTACTAGATAAATATAGGTAAGAGGGGAAATATTCAAAAACGATAAGTTTATAAGCACGTACTACAGAAAGTGACCTAAAGTGTGTTATGCCTAACTGCCTAACTAATATTCATTTCTTAATTGATGCTGTACAAATAGTACCGATTCCAGTACCTAGGTACCTATCTGTTCCGAATGAAACCTTCTCACAGTGGTATGCAGCCTAGTATTATCTATTAGGCCGCAATTATTACGCCTATTAACTTGCTCAAGTCGGCTTATTTTAATTTTCCATAAATAGATGTATTATCCAGGAACCTACATTATGAAAGCTGTCCTAAACTGTTTTTGTTTAATGCATTTTTAATAAAAGACGCAGAGCAAACGAGCAGACGGATCACCTGATTGTAAGCGATCAGCGCCGCCCATGGACACCCGCAACACCAGAGGAGTCAGGTGCGTTGCCGGTTAAGAGTAACTTAAAGATTTTTATTTAATCTGAGTATCTACAACGTCTTATACATTATATATATATGTATTATCAACTTCTAATCATCTTTCATTGATAGGTTTCTAGAATACTTGAACTCCTCATGAAATGCAATAGAAAAAAACAAACTCAAACAAAATATTTGAATCGAGTGCGATAACATTAGACAAATACATATAGATTAGGTTGGTATCTATAGGTAAGTAACTGTATCACACCCTAGCATGGAAGGAAAATAGATATCTATAGCGCTGACCCCAAGTAGCTGAAGTTGGGGGTAGAAAGTAACTAATAAATAAATTCTAAAACATCCACAGCAATCACAGCGTCCACTAATACACTAAAATAGCATTGAACTACTTTACTTACTAAATAAATGCATCATTCCTTTTTACATAAGTTTGCATAGAGTTACAAGTACCTAAGTAAAGAAATAAAAAAAATGGTCTACTTGCAATGCCCCAAACAGAAAGATTTTTCAAAGATTAATTTTTTACTAGGTATCATACTTTTTCCTCAATAAATTAACCTCTATCTGCTCATAGATACGCAAGTACTAACGACTAAGTATTAAAAAGAATGAAATAATAAAAATAAAGTCTAATTTTGAGCAAATTAATTATCGGAACCTCTTTTTGCGACATACACGATATGGCAATTAAATAAATAATAATTTTAGAAAATAAATAATTTTGTATTCTAATATCTAAACTACCTACTTATGTCTAATTGAGCAACTGGCGAGGCGTATAAAATTTCAATTTACCTAAATGTAATTTTGATTAAGTTTTAAGCTACAGATAAGTTATCTACAATTGCTTTGACAGCTTGCCAGGTCTCACGGGCCGTGGATACTATTTGGGAGCCTGGTAGCAAGAAACCATAAGGTCCGAAGGAATCTCGCAAGTCCACGTGGTACGAAAATTTGATGCCAGCTCGTGCTTTAGCCCAATCATGCGACATCCCAGAAGCAGGCTGCCGGATTTCAGCTGCTGTGCCGACCTGAAAAACGGTATAATATATTTCATTGAAATGAAAATGTTTCAGCGCTTTACTTACGAAAAAGAAGTTATTTGCAATTGGCAGTTTATTTTCTTAGGTATTGGGTAGGTAACTATGTCAACAATGTATTATTTATAGGCCATAGACTTATCTAGTTTAAGTCTGTGGTATAGGCACATACCGCGTCCGCGTAAAATGTGCCGGTTCGGAAGTCTAAAGACACGCT